GGTGCCCTTTCCTTAATTCGTTTAAGTTTCAGCCTTCAACTTTTATTCTTGATTAATGAAAACATCCTTGGCAAATGCTTTCGCAGTTGTTTGTCTTTCATAAATCCAAGAATTTCACCTCTGATTATGAAATACGAATGCCCCCGACTGTCCCTATTAATCATTACTTCGATCCCGAAAGCCAACACAATAGGACTGAATTCCTATGATGTTATCCAACGCTAATGTATACAAGCGTAGGCCTGCTTTGAGCACTCTAATTTCTTCAAAGTAACATCAACGGAGGAACGACCTGGGTAATTAAGTCCAGGAGTGCATCACTGGTAGTAGGGAGTAGATCGATGCTCACCGTGAGACGGACTGGACAACCCAACCCTAGTTTCAACTATGAGCTTTTTAAGTGCAACAACTTAAATATACGCTATTGGAGCTAGAATTACCGTGGCTGCTGGCCCCAGACTTACCCTTCAATGGATCCTCGTTAAGGGATTTAGATTGTACTCATTCCAATTACTAGACTCATAGAGCCTGGTATTGTTATTTATTGTCACTACCTCCCCGTGTCAGGATTAGGTAATTTGCATGCCTGCTGCCTTCCTTGGATGTGGTAGCCATTTCTCAGGCTCCCTCTTCGGAATCGAACCCTAATTCTCCGTCACCCGTCACCACCATAGTAGGCCACTATCCTACCATCGAAAGTTGATAGGGTAAAAATTTGAATGATGTGTCACCGACATAAAAGTCGTGCGATCCGTTGAGTTATCATGAATAATCAGAGCAACGGACATAGCCCGCGTTGACCTTTTATCTAATAAATGCATCCTTTCCAGAAGTCGAGGTTTGTTACACGTATTAGCTCTAGAATTACTATGGTTATCCGAGTAGTAGATACCATCAAACAAACTATAACTGATTTAATGAGCCATTTGCAGTTTCACAGTCTGAATTAGTTCATACTTACACATGCATGGCTTAATCTTTGAGACAAGCATATGACTATTGGTAGGATCAACTAGGTAGCATTCCTTCAGGACGTTGGCACCACGTAGGCCTCGTTGCACCGATCGAGCAACGGGAAGAGCCCGACGCGGAGCGCAAGCTTCGTGCGTGTCGAGCACGTGAAATGCATAGCCTCGGACGAACGGGGGCCAAAAGCCCACGCCCGTTAAACGTCTGCAATCGAGAGCACGATCGAACATCAGTGCACCAATACGGCCATGGAGGATTGGGTGGCACGCCTAGGACACCGACCCTGATTGATGTCCGACCGTGGCCCTTCGGGACACGAGATGGATGAGGGATGGTGAGACATCTGATTTCCATCGATTAAGGTATGCAGCACAGGATCTCAATCGTGCCTCCGGGTACGATGACCGCATGAAGGGAGATTGAAGAGGATGATGGGTCGACAGTTCGATGCATCGAGCACGGAGCCTGCCGACATGCACAACCATAGCACCACTCATATGCCCATTACGTACAAGTGGCAGCATCCACGCACACCGATCCACAACCCACCTGATCTATTTCTCTACGAACGAGCGAAGGAAATGACGTGCGAGGCCACGCCACAACCACTTGGCACGAGAAAAACATGATCAAGGGCCATGAGACTCCCCCTGCCATCCTACAGGCAACAACGGTGTGACACCACCAATGCTTGGCCCTACCGGGACCGCACACACGAGCTCCGCTGACACCATCCCAGGGGGACGTTGCCAAATTCAGAGACTTGTTCCTGGGGTTTCGGACAACATCGACTGCGTGCACGACCTCTTCGAGGCCAAGGTGTTTTTGTGGTCGATGAGAAGGGACTGCGACACCGTCAAATGCCGAGAGACTTGGCTGAGCCGAGCTCGCAACCGCAGCTTCTGCTCGCACCACACCAGGGAGCCGTTGCCCGATTTAGGGACTTGGTCTGGGGTCTAGGGTAGCATCCATCGCATGCACGGGCTCGAGCTCGGCTCCCCTTTTTTGCATGCACACCAATCTGTCGAGGCCATGGGTGCCTGCCGATCACCGAAGCAACCAATCGTCAGACAAAATGGTCGGAAGGCATGCACGCCTTGTATTTCACTCGAGGGACGTTGCTCTGGGTGTACACAATAGGAGGCCCATCACGTACAGCTACTCCCCCCGTGAGGGGGAGAGGGGGAACCGGACCACCACCCTCTAAAGAGCATTAGAGATTTTACAGATATGCTACCAGTAGACGTTAAAGTGTCTGAAACGGGGACATTTTTTTGAAATAGGCATATCCCGTACCGAGGGTGAGTAGGTGCCGATGGTGGTCGGGGCATGTATCCACACCAAGGGCCAGCGCATGCCGATGGTGGTCGATACGATTGCCCATACCAAGGGCCAGCATGTAACGATGGTGGTTGAGGTAACCGCCCGTACCAGCTCGAGGCATGTGCGTACACCAAGGCTCAGCATGTGTAGATGGTGTTCGAGGCAACCGCCGGTACCAAGGCCTAGCATGTGCCGATGGTGTTCGACA